ATATATGAGATTTCAGCGCCAATTACAGAAATCAAAAAAATAATAATAATGAATAAAATTGTTGCATTACGTTAGGACAAATGTAATCAAGTCTCGTAACACGTGTTGTTCCTTAGCACCAAATGGATATCGAGCTATGTCACATACGCTCTGCAGTAAACAACTGCGGTGATAGCCATAGCTAGAGAGAGTATAAAAAAGAAAAGATTTTACATATACTTTTCTTCAAAAAACCCTTGAGCTTTTACCTTTCCAGTAAGCTCTCCAGTGCGTTGTATAATTCACCTGCTGTAAAATCGAAGAAATGTCTGTCTTTGGACGTATCCAACCAATTTTTGAACCGCACTTCGTTTAAGTTCAGTTTATTAAAGTCTCGGACTCTATCGTTGTTCACATCACGTTTCTCTAACCTCCAAATTGGCGCATTGTAGAAAGAAGAGAGGTTGTAAGGAAAGTCGTAGTTCATTTGATAGCCCCAATCGAAGAATAAAGTGCGGTGCATAGGTAAACCAATAATCGGATATGATATGGAGCCTGTTACCTGAAAGAAATATTTTATATATATATTTTAAAAWCATTTACACACATTATTGTAAAAGCGAATATTATTGACTATGGGTACCTGYAGCCAGCTGTTGTTTGGATAAAGCAAGTATGTTGCAGCTATGTGGAAGCTTTTGAAAAAAAAGCTCGCAAAGGTGTAACTTTTGATGACAAAATAGCGCGACAACATATTGTCAACTGTTAGTAATTGTTGGTAATCTCACATATTTGAATGCTAAATACCTGCCCATTGTCTTTTAAGGGCAACGCTGGCTAAGTAGCCTCTGTTTTGGAATTCTCATCATTTAAGCTTTCTTAATTGCTTTTGTACTGAACTACTGAACTGCATTTAACCCGTTAATGAATTGCTAATGCTGCTTTGTTTATGAAAAAAGGTGTTAATTCGGAATTTTGTTAAGCTTTTAGTAAGCAACTGTCATGTGGCGTAATATCTGTTGTGCGAGAATGTCTCAATCACGACTTTCAAATACAGTTAAATATACATACCCTCAATTATGCAGGTGACAATTTTCAATTGGTTTTGTAAATTGTCAATAATATTAATTAGCCTGTAAACCTTTTGCAACAAAACTAGGTCTTAACGTAGTAAATCCATACCAGCAGTGCTAATTTGTTAGWAATATATAATATAACGGTTATCAATTAGTAAACTCCGTTGTTTTCTTTACCACACAACGCTAAAACTTTGAGCTTTGGCTCAACTTTTTCTCAGCTTTCATGAGCGTTGACCATGCTGATATATGGTCAAATTTATGGTCTAGACTTCTGGTGTGTTGCTCGGATAAATATTTCAGCCGCGAAAACAACAAAAGATAATAGAGTATCAACATCCCAGTCAAWAAGATGGAAGATAAAGTAAAAAATTCTGTCATCTTCTCTTCGCTGTACGTTATTAAACACAAATTAAGGATGTCAATGGTTGGGTTTTTTTTTTTGGAATAAAAGTTCTACTCGTCATCAAAAGGGGGTAGGGTTTTCTTCTTGGTAGTGCGTTTTCKTCGTGGCGGGTTCCAAACYCWGCACACAACCCTTAGGAGCGATGTTTCACCCTCTYATTTGAGCTCGCCGTCAAACGGATATTCTTTGGCTACCCAGAGGATTCTTGGTCTAAGAGCGGCCACTCCCAAGTGAATGGCGCTCACAGGTATTTTTTCACTTGCGTGAACTTTYACATCCTCCTACACATGACTCCATCCTCCATTCTTAAGCTATATAAAATGTATCACTATTTGGCAGGTTACTGAAGTGGCTTTTATCGGTATACGCAGTCAAGTTTCCAAATCGAAGAGTAAATGACTAAATGCAATTTTATATGAATTGAAATACTATTCGATCTTATGAATTTAATGACSCGAACTGATAAACACATTATTTTCAAGCGTTTTAAGAAAAGTCTTTATTTTCGCTTTCGAAACATGCGGATTCTGCGCGAATCACTCTGTTGCAAAGACCTGYAGAAAAAATACCTGGYTACACTTAATCTCTCCGATTGGCGCCAAGCAGGAAAAACTCGGCTAAAACCGGGTAAGCGGTGTCAAAGCCAATAAAATAGTTCCACTCTCTCTGACTTCAAGTCTACCGTGAATAAGAGCGAAAAATGGGTTGTAAACCTGGGAAAAGAACAGATAACCCACTGGTTTTTCAAAACCCTGAGGGTTATTTTTGATAAGCTGAAAAGGGCGTCTTCAAATTGATCGTGAACTCCGCAGAAAAAGTTATCATTTAATAGTGGATAGTTCTTCTAAATTCTGGAGGGAACACTTCTCCAGCCTGCT